AAATACAAGGTATATCTCTTTAGAGCTGTGAAGAGTTTCAGAAGTTATATTACCAATGGGATTTTCCAGTTCATCATTTCAAATTGATAAGGTTGAGCTCTAATATTGACTTATGCTGAGTAATATATTTTACGTATATTGAAAATGTGATGGATGACTTATAAATAAGATACATATTTGTTGCAATAAAATTTGATGTAAAAAATTATATGTGTCTTAATACTAACTCTATTATTATTTTGACGACAGAGAATCGTTGAAATTTTGAAAAAGTAAAGTATCTCGAGTTCGGGTATTGGTATTTTATAGTGGAGCTGATATCTATAATATCTAAAATTACTCATGTAGGGTGAAGTCCATTGCTTTGCAATAGATATTATCCAGTTATGAACAATTACTCATGTTGATTGACAGAGCATATGAAATTAATGAATGATCCAACTGTGATTGTCATATGAAAGGGGAGTCTATTTTGGGTATATAGTTCATTCTTGGATATAAGTATTAAAACTGGTTCATAAATTGCACTGGTAAATAGTTGTGAGATTTTAACATCAGATGTCTAACAACAAATCATGTAACTTTCACACAATATATTCACAGTTTATAATAAGTAATAACTTGTGTAACTTGTCATTTTCGCTAAAATAATTAACCTATCATGTGATATGTACCATAGAAGGAATTCGAATGTAATAGAACTTGCATGCATCATCTGGTCATGCGATACACCAATTACCAAATTTAATTAATTTACTCGTGGCGTATGCATATCTGTGTGAAAACTTAAATATACACGTAATGTTACGCGTCTCTTCCTTCTAATACATTTATTTTTGACGTTTTTAAAATATAGGCTTTATCATGTCTGCTACCACCTCTACCATTGACGTTCGAGGATATTTATCCGCAAGTAACTGTATCCCGTACACAAAATACTTTGAGCTTTGCTCGTATGAAAACTGGTCTCTCCATCAATACGTCTCACTTATAATTGATAATTATAAGTTCGCTGATAAAAGAACAGCACAATCCTTCTTTTTTCTTACTCTGCAAAATATTATTAATAATTCGCGTATGTCGCAAAAAATTCAGGATGTCGTTCAAAAACTCATAAACAATAAAAAGGTAGGCATAATAAATATAATTAATAAGATTTGATGGGGCCTTATAGCCAGGTGCTTTGTACCTATTACGCTTGCCTAGTAGGAGCCATGCAAGTACTGAAATGGATGCGTTTGTTGGACACGTACTGGCAAACATCATGGAATTTATTGATATAAATTTTCAGTAAAGATCTGTTGATTCTGAAGGAGGATTCAACTATGCCTTTCTTTACATTAAGTGGGCATTCGCCAATGAAGTAGAATATTTTTCAGCATTTCCAGAAAAGAAGAGGAGAAACTTTTGTGTCCTCCGGTAGATAAAATCAAATACCACCATGCTCCGAGAAATATATAAGAATGTCAAGACGGAAATCCGATTCCAAAAAACGAAAATTTCTCACCAGTTCTTACACGGATGTCCACTTAATGAAAATTTATCTATTATATATTCCTGCACCCGCCATCTAATCTTATTTTTGTATGATTGTGCTTACTGGGAAATATCTCACATCTGATTTTGCTTTTTATAGGCTGATATCAAAAAAGTAAATAGCTTGTGGAAAAAAGCTAACAAGGAAAGGAAGTCATTGCAACCACCAGTAGTATCATCATCATCAGCATTATCATTATCGTTATCAGTAGCATTATCATCATCATCACCAACATCACCATTTTCATCCATACATGATTATTTTGATCATACTGATAACAATGATCACGAAGACGACAATAATGATAGTGATGAAAATAATAATAACAATAATGGTAATAATAGTGATAGTAATAATAATAATAAAAATAATAATGATAATGATGATAATGATAATAACAGTAATAATAATAACAACATTAATAACAATAATAGCAATGATAATGATGATGATGATAACGATGACAATAATAGCAACGATAATGATGATGATGATGATGATGATAACGATGACAATAACAATAATAACGACAATATCAATGATGATAATGATAACAATAATAATGGCAATGGTGATAATAGCGGTAATAATAATAATAATATCAATAATAACAATTCTATGTGACAAAAAAAAAAAGTGATGCCTACATCTCATCGGAATAAAAAATGGGTTAATAATAATAATAATAATAATAGTAACAATAGCAATAATAACAACAATAACGATAATAACAACAGTAACAATAACAATAATAATGACAATGTCAATGAAGATAATATTAACAATGACAATGACAATAATATTAATAATGACAATGTCAACAACGATAATAATAACAATAATAGTAACGATGTTGGTGGTTCTATGCAACAAAAAAAAAGAAAACGGGTTAATGATAACGATAATAGTAGTAATAATAACAATGCCGATAATGATAATGATAACAATATTGATAATAATAACAATAATAATAATGGTGATGGTAATAATGATAATAATAATAATAATAACAATAACAATAATAATGACAACAATAATAATAATAATAATAGTAATGGCAACATTAATAACAATAATAGCAACGATAATAGTAATAGTAATAATAACAATAATAACAATAATAATAATAGTAACGGCAACATTAATAACAATAATAGCAACAATAATAATAATAGTAATAATAACAACAATAATAGACAACAAAGAAGAAGAAACCGAGTTAATCGTAATAATAATGATGATAGTAACGATAACAATAATAATGACAATGACAATGACAATAATAATAATGATAATAATAATGGTGATATTGGTAATAATGATAATAATGACAATAACAATGGCAATAACAATAATGATAATAGTGATAATGGTGATAATGGTGATGGTAATAATGATGATAATAATAATGATAATGGTAATAATGGTGGTGATAATAATAATGATGATGAGAATAATAACAACAATAATAATGATGATGATGATAGCAATATTGTTGGTAGTTCTATCCAACAAACAAGAAAAAGCCCTCGGAATAAAGAGCGGATAAAATATAATATAGAATATTTATCAAAAAAATCTGTAAGTATAAATGGTATTAACAATAATAGTAATAATAGTTATATTAATAAATTTTACTTTATCTTTAGACTTCACCATCACCATCATCATCTTCCTCTTCAGCTACTCAGGGAAGCAGAAAAAGAAAAAGAGTCATCTGTTCAAGAAGTTGTCCTAAACATTGTAAAAGAAAAAAAATAAATAAATAGATAATTTTTTTTAATGTGGATGGACATGTATTTATTTTTCGCTATATTAATAAAGCTAGCCCTGGTGGCTGATTTCGTATAATTAATCGTGTTCATTTTTTATGTATTTCGGGATTTATTACGTTGTGTTGTTATTGATATTGATGTATATTGGAGGGTTGAAAAGAAGGGTGATGAAAAACAAACAGGTGCACTTCTTGAAGAATTAGAACCTATTCTAAATAATGTAAGTAAAGGTGGGAGAAAATGTATAATAAATATGATAAATAAAAAATCATAAATATTAAAGTGATATGTTGAAAAAAAATAAATCAAAATGTTCGTGAGTATAATACTTGGCCTGAATTTTTTGATTATATTTCGCCGAATTTTCAAGTCCCGTTTGTCATGTGACATGATCCGTATTCTTAGACCGTTTTCGGTTGCCGATCTTTAGTCACTTGATTGGACACGGATCCCCAAATTAAATTATATGATCCCGATATTCGTAACCTTAATCCTAACCCAAGTCTAACCATATATGGCGATACTGGGTTTACCCATTGTTAGACAAATTCACATTACACGAATTTATTATTAATTTAAAAAAAATCAGCAAAATTACAAACCAAATTAACTATAATAGGTTTTTGAATATTATACTCTGATCAAAAAAGAAATCACCCTATAATAGTTTTTTTTTGAATATTATACATTGATCAAAAAAAGAAATTATAATTTTATCCTAATTTTACAGCGAAAATCATGGTTACACCTAGGTCAAATCGTTAAATTCTAGATTTTCATAATGATTACATAATATTTACAATATTTTACTATCATTTACTTGCGAAGAGTAAAGAATCATTTACGGTTAAATGACATAACATTTTATATGAATGTATCTTGATATGGCTAAAGTGATTTTCCCATTGTTAAAAAAACGAAAAATTCAAAAATAGATTTATTTTTTTAGAATGACAGAAATAAAACTTAATTGTTGACTAACAAATTGTACATCGCAAATCTTAAAATATAAACATGTTACACTTCAGGTTTCATTTAGAAACATGTCAAACATGTTGCACATTTAAGACCCAACAAACACAAAATTGATTTAAAATTCATACAATGCTTTCGAATTTTATTCCTCTTTTTTTTTTTTATTTATTTTATTCTTTGAAAAATCGGTTCTGCTATATGAACTTTTATATTTATATAAAGATTAAAACTTCCATTGAACCAACTACTTTTTTCTTCGTATCACAACCTAAAATTTGATTTACTCTTTACATAAATTCTTATTAAATTGCATAAATTAAAAGAGAAAGGTACAACATTTTATTAAGTATTTCATCTACCAAATTAAGAAATTTGCTCCTTTTTCAGAATTGTTTACAATCTTATCAACTAGAATTTTTTACATTTAGAACTTTGGTTTCACTGGTTGAAATACTCATTGTACCTTTTTTTCTTTTTTCTTTTTTTTCCTTCGTCGTTCCTCCGCTGTTGTCCCTTCGCGCGGCGCGCTTTATCTATTTTCAACTTTCCTTAACTGCCTAAATATTTCAAACACATAATTAAATATTGACATCTTACATATAACACACATACATAATCATATATAACCATAATAATCCAACTCGTAATAATAATACCGTAAAACCATATCCCCATATATATAGCAAAAAAATAAATTCCAAAAACCCCGAAAAATGCAAGAAACTCAAAATGAAGTAACAGTAGAAATACCAGACTCGATAACACAAACACAAGACCAAAGAAATATTCAACCTCCAAACACCAATAATACTTTAAGTTCAAACTCATTTCAAATTTACCTTTCCGAACATCTTCACATCTCACTTCATTTTGTCGCCGAATTATCACGCACAATTATAGCCGCGATATGTTTTGTAATTATAGGTTTCTTTTGTACTTTCGCTATACAATGGTCAGATTATCGGTGGAAAACTTCAGAGGATGATATGAAGGCTTTGGTAGATCTCGGTTTTGAGACAATACCGGAAACCGAATATATAATCCTTGCTGACCTATTCATGTTATCTCTGTTGGTTGGTTCCGTGTCCTTAAATTTAATCCTTGCTGAATCAAGTATTGCAAGACTTATAATAGTTCGTCGTATATTCTGGATGTTGTGCTTTCTATTGTTTTTCAGAATGATTACTTTAAGCGTTACTACTTTACCCAGTCCTAAACCATGTATACCGATGGAACCCGGAAATTTTTTACAAATGCTTAAAAATGGAGTAGATCTCATAACTGGTTCAGCTAAAGCTTGTACTGATAATATTTTTTCGGGTCATAGTATTTTTATCACTACAAGGTAAATGAATGAATAAATTATTTATATATTATTATATATTATTTGATTTAATTAAAATATATGATATTATTATTATTATTATTATTATTATTATATTCACTAATTGGTTCAATTAATTTTTCTTTTTAGCATCATCCTTTTACGCGTATACTGTCGTTATAAATTTATTGTATATTATTCTTATTTACACGCGTTCGTGGCATTGTGTTTACTTGTTGCTACACGAATCCATTATACAGTTGATGTCATATTGGCAATTTTTATTACGTACGCTGCTCACTCCATCTATTTTTTCATTGTTGATTTATGTATCGAGAAACATTTCTTAGATATAAATAGAGCGGAAGATAGATTAGGAGATAAAGATCTTTATCAACGAATAGCGTATATGCCAAACATGTTCAATATAAGTTTAGTTGGTGCTGTACGTTGGATGGATGGACTAGATATTCGATTTACTTGTGAAGGGGAAGAAATTCTCGATGCTACCAGGGAACGAGCAAGAAGACGACGTCTTCAAAACTCAAGTGATAATATTACTAACAGTGAAATGACAGAAGTTGAAATTATTGTAAATCCTAGTCAAGACGATGTAGAAGGTGAGCCAAGTAATGGGCTTAAAAAATAGATTTTTTTTATTATTATTAAAAATAGAATATTAAATAGATTATTTAAATAGGTCATTAAAAAAAAAAAAGATAAAATAGGTAAGGATTCCTTCCTTAGGAATTCCTTTGAAAATGAAGTTTGTAAAATAATAATAATAATCACAATTGGACAATTATTAGATTCGAAGAACCCTTAAAACAATTAGAATAAAAATATTTATTTGGTTTAGATAGATTTTTAATTTTTAAGAGAAAAATCAAGACATAAAATATATATCAAAAACAAAAAGATCAAGGTTGGCGAGAGGTCTTTTTTAACATATTTTCCTAACCAAAAACTACCTATTATTACATATATGCAACAAAAAATTTTCTTTATTACATTATATAATTTAATTTATACAGGACTATTAAAATCAACGGAGGATTACTACAACTCCTACTTACCATTCCAAAAACTATATAACACAACACCGTCAATACTTAATTCATCATCTTCATTACTACTAATATCACACGGAAGTTTTGCATTTTTGTTGTTATATACTTTTATGTTTCTTGGGTTGGCGGTAATGTGGTCAACCTTTAGTGTACCAATAACTTCGTTTTATAATAATAATATATATAAATAATAATACTACATGAAATCGAATACATAATTTTTTTAATATTTTTATTTTTATTTTATTTTTTTTAATATTTTTTATTATTATTTGTTTAATATTAAAAAATCTTTTAAAAATTTGTAATATTTTTAATACTTAACGTTTAATATTTGTGAAGATAAAATGTTAATAATATTTTTTGTTTAAATTTCTCATTTAAAAATTTTAATTTTTCTAATTTTTCTATACATAATTTTGTTATTTCAAATTAAAATTTTTTTTTTTTTGAAAAAAACATGAAAATAAAGCAAAATAGAAACTAAAATGCAAGTTATTGATAAATTCTTTTATAAGTGTGAAGTTCTCTATCATGTAATTTTCTATTTTGTAGTGTTATAAGACTTTCCCCTCAAAATACCCGCCATGTAATCAGATAATTTTTTTAACCTTTCTCTTTGAAAGCATTTGAACTGTTTTATGTTGCATAAACTCCCAAAGATCTAACTGGAAATTCTTTTGTCACCGGTATTAAAGTTTCTAAGCCCATTTTTACTCCTCGCATTCTTGTGCATTGATTGCTACCAGGTAAGATTTATTTTTGTTAATCATAATATCATTCATTTCAAAAAATTCATTTGAGATTAAAGAATTTTTTCCATTTGATCTCTTGACGAACCAATTTGTATTATCAACGTACGCAGCCACAGACATCTTTAGTTTCAAAATGCTAAAAGTACTTAAACATAGATCATTGATCCATTTTTCTTTCATTGTATAACCTAGCTTGGATTTAGCAATCCTACTAATTAATGGATCATAAAAAAATTTGATACAAGAGGGTGAAAATGTATAATAAATATGATAAATAAAAAATCATAAATATTAAAGTGATATGTTGAAAAAAAATAAATCAAAATG